TTTTACCCAGAAAATCTGTTTTGATACTGCCTTGGCCTCAGAAAACCATTGGAAAACACCTGATAAATAAGAATTGGCTATCAAATGGGACAAAAATACACTCCCGTAGAGAGTGCCCAACTATGTTAGCCAATTAAATTGAGCAGCAGTAATCCAACAGATGAGCTCAATCTGAAGTGCAGAGCAGGGAGAGTGCAGTACATGCGTCCTTGAGATTTCCCACTGTAATAAAGATCCATTTTGCTGCGGGACTTACTAGACAGAGTGATGGGACCATAGCCAGCCCCAGCATTAGATGCAAGTGGTCTTCTCTCTTCCCTGGTAGCACACTTGATAATGTGTACTTGTACTGATTTAGCGTAGCTGTGTCTTCTGTCATATGGCCTCCTTGGCAATGGCTCAGCTTGCTCTCCCCAGAATCTGTGTGTCAAATTTTAATTTTTACTTTGTTGGACAGAATTTCAAGATTGCACTGGAGTAGAATGTGAGAGGATGTTTCCTCACTGGAGCCAGAGTTTGTTCTTCTCTCAGTGTCTAACTACATAAAATTCCTTAGAGCAAAATAATAAATGCAATAACACCTGGTTATAAAATGTTTATTTGCTCTCATTTAGGCTTGCAAAAATTTTGCAATGAAATATTAACTCAAAGAACTACGTAACAATCCAACTTGCATAACATTTAATGATTCCTGATTAAAAAACAAAATAAAACAACAGATTTGGGGTCAAACAATATGACACTGCTACTTCAATGCTGTTTTTATTTACTCAGAAGAAATACCTTTTGTTTGTTTAGTCTCTCTTACCCTAGCAATAACTTTTTGGCTTCTTCGGTTTATTTGGTTGTGTGTTTATATAGATTGTTTGTTTAAAGCTAGGAAATCTTCTTTGCCACTTTCTCCCAGGAAAAAAATGGCCCTAAACTAACTCAAGTTAGAATTAACACTGTCTGAAATCTGATGTCAACTCAGGCTAGTAAAGGAGGGGAAAAAAAGAGTGTGCATGTATCATGAGGCTGAAATTTTTGGTCACACTTGTGTCATTTTCTCTAAGGCCTATAGTTTTTAATGTGAAAAAAATTAGGCCCTCATCCAAGAACTCAAAATATTAAAGAAAGTGAACAAAAATGATAACTGTTTTCTAGAACTGTAGGAACTGGCAAGGCTGACTTATCTGCAGCTGGCTGATCTTGGTGAGGGATACTCTATGTGGGATCTGAAGTTGAGGGCAAGGGAAGGGAGCTTGTTAGGGAGCTAAGCCCTGTGTCATGCCAGTTAAAGCCTTTTTACATAAATACAGCAATTTAACAAATCTTAGAAGTCAATGCCAAAATTTACTACTATTTTAATAGCTCCTTTATGTTATCCTTAAGTGTCCTTAAAAGAATTAAGATGCAAGTAAAACCAAAAAGTCAAATAGTCTGCTAACATTTACTTCCTGGAGAAAAATCAGAAAAGGAAAATGGCCTGGGGTTTTGCATCTTGCGTCTGATAAATGGTTGCGAGTCTTCAAAAATAACTCATGTATCTAAAAGATTACTGAAACTAGAGCTTTTAAAAAGTGTGGTCTACTGTTGGATGAGTAAGAGAAAAGATGTAAGAACAGCTTGCCACTGAAGATCAAGGGACATCAACAAGCCTGTTTCCTCTGTTCTTCCTGAGGTACAGCTGGTAGAGATGGAGTGACTGATACTGTCCTTTAAATTTAAGAATGTACTTGGAGAACGGAGGTGATTTTGCCTCTCTTACAGAACACTTAATAGAATCTATTGTTACAGAATATTTTGGAAGGTTTAACTGTTATGAAAAAGAACAAAATGTTTAACATTCTAAAGACAACAATTCAAAAATGCTCCACATCAGGGTATTTTGACACTGTAAAGCAGTTCAGAATTGGAGGTTAAAATTTAATATTTTTTTTTTTTAAAGGGCCCACAACCTCATTTTTTCCCTTACTAGTTCTTTTCCCTTCTTTTTTTTTCATTGCAACCTGTAGAAAACAGAGTTGTTAAGTTGTTCTTGGTGCTTCTTTAAACTGTTATTTTTCCAAATTCAGTGCTATTTAATTCACTTTAGATGCTTTCTGGATTTATGCTCCCTTGAGTATATGCCCTATTTCACGTTATGTATCTTCCAGCAGTCTGTGTTCTGCATGTGCTCCCATCTTTGCAGTTCCTCATGGCAGTTTTGTCTACTTTAATCTTTTCTGTCATGATTTTCTTTATAATAAAATTTTATACAGTTTCCCAAGTAGCAAGCTACTCTTTCCAAGAGGTTGGAAACAGTAGCTGGTTTTGGCTTTGTAGAACTTCTGAAATTTCTCAGGCAGTTTTCTTGTCCTTGCTCTCTATATGACAGGCCTTTATGATTTTTAAAGGCAATTTTGGTTTTAGTGTAATCAGCACACAAGTGCATCCTCCTAACCCTTTTTTCTCACACTATATGGCATCTGTGACTTCAGTTTGCTATGAAGCAAGCAAGTAGGGAGAGTTGATTGAATCTGGTTGGGACAAATGAGCAGCTTTTTATTTCCCAATCTTTGACCCAGACAGAGGTTCAAAAGCATTCCAAAACTTGCTGTTTCTTTTAGTTGGTTTGCTGTTTACAGCTTCAAACCTGGATTTCATTATGGTTATCCATGCCTCTGTGATTCGTGGACTAACTTGAATGTCTGCAGTGCATTCCCTCCTCGCAGCCACACTTGCAGGCAGCTATAATGCTGTGGCAAAGTTGGAATGCAAATATGTGCCATTGAACAGTAGCATATGAGAATAACAGTAGCTAATTAGTTCTTGAAATGTACCCAGAGACAAAAAATGTTATCTTCTTCAAAAGTCTCTCAAGAATTTTATGACTAAAACCTGATTTGAATATTGCAGACAGATACAGTGATCAAATCCAGCCGGTGTGAATTAAGAATCTTCCAGACTGTGCTGCTCCCTTGCAGTAACCTATATGCTGTTTAGCATAACTTTTTAAAGTAACCAAATGTAACAGATGTGTTTATTACTGTGCAATATCTCCGTGTTTATTACTGTACAATATCTCCACCTCAGTAATAACATGTTTTTCCTTCTTATAGGCAGGAATAAGTCCAACTTTATTTTTTTGTGGTTTTGTTCTGTAGTTTTTGGAGGTGAGTGGGAGATAACTCCAGTATTTAATTATCTGCTCCAGCAATCCTTGACATCAGTTAATCACCTAATACTACCAATGTTAGTATCTGTATCTACCAGTTACTGAGCACATTAAAATGTATTTTTAAAATTATCAGTGGTGACATCCCGTTTGGTATTTCAGTGAGGCTGAAAAGACATAGTTACAGGGGCGTATTCAGTCAAAAAATATGCGAACTTCAGAGAAATAGTTAAAAAGCCCACAAATTGAGAGTTGTTTGTATGAATCTTTTGCCTTTTTTGCATTTATAATAGTAAAATGGCAAATGATTGACACTTTTTTGTTTGTTTGACAAACAAAACATCATGAAGCTCAGAGATTATGAGGAACTGCTTTCAGAAATCAGAATTTAAAAAAAAAACCCAAACAAACCAACCCAAACCAAAAACCAGTTGTGGAACTTCTGAGCTTCAGAGTTAACAGTTCTTGACCAGATGAAAAAAATTTCTACTGCTTAGTTGTTTCCTTCTTTTCATTTGCAGTAATGGCACATATATACACGTATGTGTTACTTTATACTAGAAAGGATTCTTCTGAGGCTCAGGCTGGATGACAGAGAGCAGGCGTCTCGAGATCTGTAAGGGGTATTTGGTTGCGCATGCTTCCTAGGACTTGAGTTGTCCATGTGAAGACCAGGAAATGAGGAATAGGGCTGGGTCTTTGCTACTAGCTCATTCAGCAAAATGCTAAACCACAGCTTCCTAAGCTTTAAGGCAGTCACTGACAAAGAATGTTTTTACGCCTGCTTCCCCATGTGCAATTCCTTTCTGCAATATAAATTGCCTAATTCATTAGTTGTCTAACATAATTTCTGCAGTCCCTCATTTTCATTCATCAGATTTGAGAATATTATTCCAAATTGCAGTGTGTGAATAAAATTATTAAGATACCAAACTTTGTAAAAATGAATTATAATTCATGTTTTTCATCTTGGAATAATATTAAACAAGCCTTCGTTTTGCTGTTGGGATGTAAAAATTAAAAGGAAACTTTAATTATGACCTAAAAATTGTCCTTTTTCTATCCGAGGATTTTTGAGCAAAATTTTGCTCAGAATAACTTCTAGTGTATGCTCAGAGTTGCTTGCATGAGATACAGAAGGAGAAAAAAAAACCCAAAACCAAAACCCGAGTCTTACTGAAGCTGGTAACACTTCAGAACAGCTCAAGCTGACTTCAAAATGATTACTGCGTGCAACTGTCAAGATTTAACCTAGTAATAAAAATAACATAGACAGAAACACACCCAAACATGGAAACACTTATGCAAGATGTGTCCTTCTTGTCAAGAAGGTCAGCAGTTTTGTTTTGTTCAAATAGAACATGATGGAATTATTTGGTTGTCTACATTTTTAAATTCTAAAATGAAATTTATCTGCAATAACAACTTTGTTTTCTTCCTGGAATGTAGGTTGGGATTTAATTTTGTTGATGGTACAGTCATCTCTGAAGCCTCATTGTCTAGGAAACAGTGGACTAGGTTTATACATGGCATTGGTTTGTATGTGAAAGAGATATGTTTTTCAGGCTAAGTATTACAACTTGCAAAATTTCCTTTTTTTTTTTTCTTCTGCACAAAAGATATCCGAGCATGTCTCCTTAAAGGGTAGTTGGTTGGTTTTTTTCATCTGCTTCTATTTCTTGAGCACCCAAACAGAGTTAAAATCACTTGCACAAGCCATTCTGCTCAGTGTAGGTATTGTAATAGTTGAACTAAGCAGATGAAAGGGGGCCCGGTCAGGGCGGAGAGGGGCGGGCAGCCTTGCCTGGCCGCGCCGCGCCGCGCCGCGCTCGGGGAGCGCTACCTGTGCCTTGTTTTTCCTCTCCCCGTAGGACGGTCCCGCGCCCTCCGCTCTGAAGAGAATGGCCGTGACTCTAGAGCAGGCCCAGCGGGTGGGCTATACCTGTCTGAAAGCACTCCTCAGGTTCGCTTTTATGGTCGCCAATAACCTGGTTGCTATTCCGTCCTACGTCTTGTATTTAATTATGCTGCAGCCTCTCCGAGTGTTGGATAGTAAAAGCTTCTGGTATATCGAAGGAGTGTTATTTAAGTGGCTTTTAGCTATGGTGGCTTCCTGGGGCTGGTGGGCAGGATATACAGGTAAGAATGTCTTATTAATTCAAAATGTACACGTATAAAGATGTAAATAAGTATTAAAGATGCTTTAGAATGGGGATGTGTAGGGGAATATGTAAATATAGTGGATATGTGGGATGTTTTTCTTTCAGGTTTCTTGTACAGGTGCTTTGTTTCTCTCGATTGAGATGCTGAATGTACTGAAACATTCTTGTAAATCATAGGTACAAACCTACGTGTTAAATAAGAGTTTCTCAATCGGTATTTTCTCTTAGTATAAACGGAAATAGGATTTTTCCTAATTATCATGATCGCTTTGTTTTAGCGCTACATGAAGAAGATACATCTGATCAAAAGAGGGTTGATTTGTACTGTGCATGTAGCTGCTAGAGCCAAACTTTTCTTTATTAAGTCTATGCATCTCTGAATCATCTCCACTTAAAGCTGTCAGGACACAAGGCTAAGAAGTTCGACACGAGGCTGATGTCAGAAGAGTAGGTCTTCTGTTCCTTGCAAGAGCAACTGTCTTTTGTGCTGCTTCAGAACGGAGGGAAACACCGGGAACCCCTTTCATACAAATAGGGATACGCAATGTTTCTCTACTGTATGGCTCTTCATTTATTGTTAGCAGAGCTAATTACAGAATCCGTAGGGTTTTTCCCCTCTGCATGCTTGCTTTGCAGTTATTATTGAACTTATTTTTGGTTGCTAGTATTCACAGGCTCATCAAGGTGATGGACTGAGCTGAAATATTCAGGAAGGCTCTAGTCTTGTCCTTGAACACACAGATTTTCATCCTGGCTACTGCACTTTGTGCAAGAAAACAGCCATCAATTCTTTGTATGTGCTTAGACCTTGGAAAGGGGAGGAAATTAATCTACTGAGTACAAAATATGAACAGTCCTAAAATTCTTTCCCTCTCTTCTGCCCAGGCTGCATCTGCAGGTCTTGTCCATGTAAACAAGGAAAAAAAAAAGGAATGTCAGCACACAGCTCTGGAGTCTGGTCAGACTCCTGATTAGTCAGAGAGTCAGTGTTGACGCAGATGGAGCGCTCTTTTTGTTAGGCTACAAGAGCTGAAGCCTCTGTGACAATGTGCCTTTTGGTACCCTGTCGTGTGCCTTTCCGCGATGCACAAAGTTTCTGTGGATACTCTAGGTGAGCTTCCAGTTCTTCTTAAGGAGATGGTGGCAGCAGCAAGCTAGATTCTGGTCTATCGGGCTAGAACTGTCGCAACGTTGCACTGCTTCAAAATTGCCTTGCCTGGTACAGCTCAAGCTTTCCAGATATGCTGTTTCAAAAAATCTTTTTATGTGTTTGTATTTGCTGATTAAAAGAAGTCCACATAGTATTTGCAGTGGCAGGTATATTTTTAAGTCTGCTTTATACCTTAAAGCCCAAAGGCCTTCTGGAAGGAAGGATTGACTTTCAAGGTGTCATGTGTATTATTAATTGGAAATGGTCAAGTTTTGGGGCATAATAGTAATGTTAAAGTCATACAGCATATGACCCCAGGGATTTGCTGTGTATACTGAACATACTGGTTAAAATTCAAGCCATTGTCCCATGACAATACCGTTTTCTTGGGACAGTTTTGCTGCTGACTGCAGAACTGTGTGATTTCTTTTGCCTATTGCTTGGAAAGTGGTCTTAGCATGATCTGCATATCAGAGTCTTCCTGAAGCATCTGTTGATTGGTGTTGCTGATGTATCTTGACAATTTGAAATCATTTGTTTTACAGTCTTGAAATGTCTTAGTATGTTTGTTTGAAGTATCATTTGCAGACAGCTACACAGAAATGTTTTCTGGGATGATGTATGGGTAAGGAGGCCCTTCTTTTTGCTTTTCACTATAAAGCATGGCTTTTGTTTTGGGGAGGATTTTAAGCAAATGCTTGTACAAAGTCTCAGTTTAAATATATTTTATTTGGTATGAAGACATTAACATGTTTTATACTGAAAGCTATAAAATAGCAGGAATAGCTTGTTTGTTTGTCTATTCTTTCTTTACCCTCATCAGTGCTCACCACCACATGCAGAACAAACCTGGAAAGTGTCTTTCTGGCTTTGATGTATGTAGCCAGAGTAATTTATGTGTCTGTTTCCAGATTGATAGATTTACAAAAGACTGTCGCTAGGTCCCCTCTTCTTATAGAGTACAACATGACAAATTCACAACTGAAACACTACTTCATTAGAGTTGGTGTTTAAGACTTGCGTGCATCTGAAAGAGATACTGCTCTGGAATTCTTCTGTTTTCAATTCCGAAAACTAAGTCAAAGATAGACTTCAATATGTTCCATCTTTGCAAAAGTAAATACAAGGTGGTAGGTGTGTATGGGTTCATTGAGAAAATTAAGGATTTTTCTTTTCTTTTGAGTAGCAGAGCAGTTGGTGAGATTCTTTTTTTCCTTCTTGATTGAGAGGGTAACTAGCTAAATAAGTTTACTTGTCTTTTAGTTGGAGGTAGCGTTCTGCTTCGGTTGTGTTGAAGGTGTGTTTCAGTTTTTTAATTTATTTAATTTTACCACTTCTGAGCTTGAGTCCTGTTAAGTGAAAAGTGACAGAAACCATTTGAAATTAGGGACTTAAACTCAGCTTGCAAAGTAGATTCAGGGCAAACTTTTTTTCGCCCTGTAAGTTTGTGTAGGAGAGAGCTCAACACCAGATGACGACAGTATGGTGAGTGCTAGGTTTTCCTTCTGGGCTTTGCCGCTCTTGCGTAACTGTTGGTATATTTTATTGAAAAAAGATGAAAGCGCTGAGGAAAACTCATGAACTAGGTCTGCCCTTCTCTCCACCCCCGCATAAACCTGTGGTTTTGTGCTAGGTTCCTAGAGGATTTGTCACAGAGGTTACATGATCTGGGTCTATATCAGCAGTTATAATCTGTGCTTTTTGATAAATGTAGGTGTTTCTGTTTGCAGAGGTACTTGATGTTATGTAAAGAGATAGTGTATAACTGGACAAGAAAAATAAAGGAAGGAATGGGAAGAGAAATTTCAAAGGTCACTCCTTTTCCTAATCTTTTTCTTCTTAAGATGCAAGTATGAGAGAGAACTTGGGTATAATTGGTTGCCTTTGATTTTTGAAGGGCAGAGTATGATAAATATCTATGTTGTTCTCTTGAACTCTATAGTGTTTCTTATGAAAAGCAAAACTGAGTGTCTTTTTATCTTTTTATGAAGAATGTTCAGATAGTCTAGAAATGTTATTTTATTTTTATATGCTTTCAGAAAGGACTTCTTAACTCTTCCAAGCTTTTTTCTCTTTTTAAGGCTTTTTATATAAATGTATTGCTCTCGTTGTAGGAGCTGTTCAGTTAGGACACTTGGAATTTGCATATTAGTGTGATTTGAAAGGCACCTTTGAATAGCACTTAATATTTCCTGCATTTGTTGGAAGATGCATTCTAAAAAAAGCAAACTCGAGAGTGCTTGATCCTTTGTTGGCAAGTACCTTTTTCTCCCTATACTATAATTTGTTATTTAATATACAAGTAAACCAGAAACCACTAAATTGTGCAGTAGACGTAATGGGATGGAGATGGAGCATATCTGTGGTAGTAAATTTCTGATGACCTCCTGCTCACCTACAAAACTAGTTTTAAAGCAGCCATCTTCTAGATTTGAACTTCTTTGCAAGTAGCTGTTGCAGACTAAAATTTAATATCCCTGTATCTAATGAAATTGCTAAAAATAGGACTGCTAGAGAAGAAGCTTGCTTTGCTTAAATACGCTTAGGCAAACTGTTTTGTTGTCTTCTGCTGTCTAAATGCAGAAGTTAGCATTAGCCTGTGATAGTGATGTTGCCATATTGCAATTAGAAGTCTGTGGGACAGCAGAGTAATCGGTTAGCAATGCAGCCCTGATACTCCTGATGCTCACCTTATGCTCTGCACAGCTCAGTGTCACTGCAGGGAGTGGTGGTGCGTGTCCACCCAGCCTGTACCTCTGGCTGGGTACAAGGAGGAGCTGGCGGGCAGGGTCAATGTCCTATGTCCACAGCAACCATCAGCGCTCTTCTGCCTGTCAGAGCACCTGGGGAGAGAAGGGTTGCATTGTGGTCAGCAGGGTTGTGTGTGTATTGGGAAGGGTTTCCTTGAGAGTTGTGCTTGGAGTATTCTATACCCCAGCAGTAAATGGGACAACTTGACAAAGCCTTCTGTTTCAGCCCCTTACCGACATACACAGGCTTGCAATAATGTTGGACAGGTTGCTGGGCTGTGAGCTGATGAAAGGAAGGGTAATACACCCTTGGTACCACACACAAAAAAATCTTAGTGGTGTGACTATGCTTACTGATACAATGATGCAGTGCTTAATAAAAAGTGAACTAATCCTGTGGTATTGCCTGTTACTGTACTGTCAGCTGGGAAGGTGACATTTAAAGAGTGTCTGTTAGAATTGTCAAATTTTGTCAAGCAAGGAGAATTTCCCTTTCCTCCTCCTTGTTATTGAGCCAAGTAGAATAAAACTGAGATTTGGATTTTTAGTTGTGTCCTCCTTTTCCCTCAAATGATTTAAAATTTATTGGCTGATTTGTATGTATGATTAAGTAGTCACCACTCTATAATTTTTTCACCAGACATGCATTTTTTTTTTTCTCTAATTCAAAATCTTCTTTGTGTCTGTTTTATCAGTCACAGCCTCAACTCCTCTAATCTATTAAGAATGTGAATATTTTTGTCTTCCAGAACTGTAAAAGATACAGGTGGAGCTGCTGTGACAACACTTCCTTGGTACACTGTCTGCAGTGTACACTGTCTGCACTGCCTCTCATGACAAGTTGGCCCCTCTCCTCGGGCAGGAAGTGCGGCAGAAGCTGGAGAACAGCAGATGAGATAAAGTAAATTTTTTGCCCCAAGTAAGGCAGGAGGTGTTATTTCAGGAGACCTATCTATGCCTCTAACCCTGCTATTGTTTCCTACCCTCTTCTGTTCCTACAATATGATGTTTAATTGGCAATATTTTGTTTTGGGGATTGGTTACTACTCTGAGGACTTGGCAGGGAGGGGTTTGGAG